AGACTAATGAAGAGGAGCCCAACGCCCTGGTCATTGTGTCCCCTATGTCTGGTGCTCTATGGCATATGGTGGGCACTCAGTAATTGGAGGCCACGTGGTTTTGAGCAGGTGGACAAAGAAGGCTGGCATCAATCTACCCCCTACTTAGTGAATCTACAGATTAGTTAATAACTTAGACCTTGGGAAGGTGTCTTAAGAAAACTAAAGATGAGAGGTGGTTTATAAAACAGAAAACTTATTTACTCATGGTATCTGGGGGAAGAATTATAACATGAAGTATTTAATTTCCAGACGTCTATCACCAAGGTTTTTATCATCTCCCTTGCTTGTCAAATTGCAGGCCCCACTGGATACCCCACCCCACTCCCTACCACAGTCATCTCATCGAAATATATAAAGGCAACCAGGCAGTAATGCCAACTCAGATGACCCAAGCAGGTGGCAAGGTCAACCACTCTAACCAGTGGTCCTGTCCTGCAGTTCTGCCCCCAAAGTTATCTTTTTAAATACAGGGCCATGAATACCCTTTCCCAGCTCCACCCACCCATGTAGCATTTTTAAAGTACAAAGTGGGCAAAGGCTGTCTAAGCAAAGAGTAAGCCATTTCTAGCCACATCTCTGTATTTGCTCTCACAGCATCCAGCAGGCATTCTCTTATTAATTTAGAGTCCACAAATAGCCAACAGGCCCAAACTTTTTCAGGAAACTTCACATGAAGAGGAAAGTGTGCTAACTTTATGGGCTCACTTGCCATCTCATTTATTCCAGTTCATTTTAGTCTATCTAAGCATCATAAGGTATCTAATGGTATCTAATACCATCATTGCAAGTGAAAGTGAAAAAGTTGCTGAGTCGTGTCTGATTCTTTGCGACCCCATGTCCATGGGATTCTCCAAGCAAGAATACTGGAGTGGTTGCCATTTCCTTCTCCAGAGGATCTTCCCGACACAGGGATCGAGTCCAGGTCTCCTGCACTGTAGGCAGACTCTTCACTGTCTGAGCCACCATGGGCTCAATACCATCATTAAGTGGTATTAATGATGTTTAGAATTTCTCCTGCAAACCAACAGAAGAACTTAGCAAAGAGACATCAATTTAGACTGAAATAATGCAGAGTGAAACAGAGATAATTTTCAGTTACAAAGCCAGATCTTCCCAGAACTAAGTCATTCTCTGCCCTTTCCTGTTTGTTTCGTGACTAAGTCATGTCTGACTCTTTGCAACCCCACAGACTGTAGCCTGCCAGGCTCTTCTGTCCATGGGATTTCCCAGACAAGAATACTTGAGTGGGTTGCTGTTTCCTTCTCCAGGGGTTCTCTGCCTTTATGTCCTATGAAAAGCTATCAATTTCCAGATTTCCGAGCCAGACAACTCTTTAGATGGGCCACACAACTGCCCTGGACCACTTACTTCTGCTCATCAGGTACATCCCGTCCATCACTTCTGCCTAACATATTCTTGGACTCTTTGTCATGAAAGCAGTCTCTGTGCTGTGACCTAAGCACAGACAGGAACAAACTAAGCAGTTCAGAGTCTAACCACTTGGACAGCAGCTGTATTAGCCCATGCTGAGAAATGCTTCTAAGGCAGGAAGTTTGATCATAAACTTACGGTCCTCATAGTCCTTTAAGGGATTTCATTTTGCACAGACTAGTATGTGAAGGTGGTTTTCCAAAGGTCAGTATCCAAAGTAAATTTAATTATGACTTGAAATTGTACAGGTGACTGCCTAAATTTGAATATTATTCCCTCTACTGAAAGGGACAAACTTTATTCACATTCTGTAAGGACTAGAAAATGGTCTAAATAGTTAATCTCCATTATTTCTAGGCTGTGCTCCACATCTTCTGGTGTCTAGATCAAAACCTGAAGCCATATAGCTGGAGGGCTATGTGTTCCCTTAATCTCATGGCCATGTTCTGCTCTAAGAGTTCTTGCTCTTGATCAGTTTGACACTCCTCCTGGAACAGAAGGGGCTTGTGACTATTTTTCACCTCTTCTAGAATTGCCACAAAATTACTCAAGTGAAATGGAGTTTATGGTTATCCGATTTTTAAAAAGGCAGAAGCACTTCGTTTAAGCATGTAGGTGGTTATAATTAAAATATGCAGTATGGTTATACTGATGTCCTGATATTTGGCAGTTCTATTGAACTTGGCCTTTTATATAAATGCTTTAGGAACCTAGGGACTCAAACAGTTTGAGTAAAGAATCAAAATGACTCAGGGCAGGTAGGCAGGTACATAGCTAAATGTCACGTGAAGTGGGCAGTAGGGTGATCTGGGGAACAGGGCCGCTCCAGACCACTGGTGGCTGTCACTGCCAAGGAAAGCTTGACTGGCGACACTCCTTGAAAGAGTCCCTGCTCACATGCTTACTCTGATCTAGATGAAGACTGTGCTCACTGTCACGTCTTCTCTTGGTGCTATCTGGGTAAGTCAGATTTATTTTTCCCCAGCCCTCTGTTCTCCTATCCCTTCAGGTACTGCCCACAACAGAAGTTCTGTCTACTCTTTTGTTGGTAGCTAGCCTTATCTGAATAGCTCTCACAAAACCTTGGTTCTTCTGGGCTCTGGCTTTAATGAATATATGGTACTCCAGACCCTAATCTTGATTATCTAAGATGGAGGAAAATGTCCTACAGCTCCCAGGGTTGGTTGGTTGGTTGGTTTTTTCCCCATATCAGGTATATTCTATTATTTAGTCTAACTTAAGTTTTTTGCCAAAGTCTTTGAGCATTCCTGCCCTGTCCTAGAGTATTTTAGACCAGCATCATGAGTATGTTTGGGGCAGATTGTAGAAGACCAGGGTCAAAAAGTCAGGCCACATGCCTTGGGGCTTTGAACTTCAGACAGGAGCCAGTCTGGGTTAGTTCAGGTCAATATCTTCCTCAGCCAACCCCAAATTTCCTCCAATTCAGAAAAGATGTGTCTCCTTTCCTTTGGAGAATTTAAGTTTTGCATGGGCTTCTATTCTCCACTGTTCATGGCTTGTCACGTTATTTCACATGTGACTTAGGGGAGCAAAAGGGATGCTCACCTACCTGATACAAGGTGGCTATAAGGCTTCAACTAACTAACTTTGACAATTTAGGTGAATTCCTAGCATTCTTTAGGATAAAGTTAAACTCCAATGAAAAGTTATTATATATTAAAAGTATATGAACAGAACACACAGCAAAAATGAATCATCTCTCCCACCGTCCTGGAGCACCATCAATAGATTCTGGTGTATCTTAATCTTTGAAATGATATGAAAGGTGTAATGCAAGTCACGGCACTACTCTGAGAAATCGTTTAGTAAGTTAGTATTGCTCATCCATTAATGATTAATGTTAGAGTCTGAAAACTTTCAAAAGCAGGGCTTTTCCAAGCTCTGTCTGGTTACACATCAGAGGCCATCTTCACTACACACACGCCTTTTTCAAGGAGTCCAGGCATGGGAAAGAGTTTGAGAGGGCAGTCCATTGGAGCCTGTCCGTTTTTCACGTTCCCTTAAAGATAACATTTCTCAAGCTGCTAAATTACCAGTCCGTAGAGTCACGTGACCAACTTAACCGTGATCAGGCTGTCAGCCAATCGCAGAGTGCAGAAAAGCCCGTCCCAGCTTCTCACGCTCGGGACAGTCAGAACCTAAGGGCAGGGGGGCATTTGGAGACTCAACCTCCCCCCGTCCCAAGTACTGCTTGAGGGACTGCTTGATCACACACTTTAAAGTTAGCTCTCACTTTAGGAGACTCGTGACTGCAGGCTGGCAGACCTCCAAAGCCACCGGGCGACAGGAGCTAGGGACTCTGGAGTGGGTACTTAGGGCGCGGGCCGTTTTCCGTCCCAACTCTCCAAAGCTGGCGAGCCAGCCCCTTGGTGTCAGGTCGAGATCGCTTAGGGGACCGGCCAGGATTTTCACCGAATCCTCTAAGAAGGGCTTCCTGTCGCCTGCCTGGGAAAGTTGCGTGGCCCCAAGTGTGAGCGTGGTTGAGGACAGGGCTCCAGGCCCAGTGCGGTAGACCCTGGGGATCCGAGAGCAGTACCCCCACCCACTGCAAACCACAGTCGTACACCAGCTCTCCCAGATCCCGCGCTACTCCCTCTGATCTATTGTTTAGAATAAGGACTAATTACAGTCGCCAGATTAGGACTCGATTCCTCTCGAGGAAATCTCACCGGCAACGAGGCTCAGGAAACTAACCTGATTAAGTCTCAGTTCCACTCCCCTCCCCCGTTCAGCTCTCCGGGAGACCCTAGAGGTTTATGATTGCGGCCCAAAGTGGAAAGGGGAAGAGGGGAGAAACATCTAGAGGGGAGTCCTATTTCAAGCCTCACTCGTCCTCTAACCCTCACTCCAGAGGCGACCCGGTGCCCGGGGAGTCGCAGGAGTCGCAGTCCGGGTGCGCAAGCTGTGCACTTCTCGCGCCTACCAGAGACACTCGGCCGCAGCCCACCGAACGTACGCCCCCCTCACCGCCGCTGGGGACTCCAGCGCTGGTCGGCACCCGGCGCCCCGCGTCCCCAGAGGCGCCCTCCCTCATCCGCCGCCCACTCCCAACCTCCCTGGAAGTCGGAGGAGCGTGCCCGGGGCTGCAGCGCCAGTCTCGGCCCACCCGGCCCTCTGCCTCCTTCCTAACACTCCGCCTGGCAGAGGATATACAACCATTGTTCAATGGCTTAGAAGCCCACATCACCCATCCCCGGCCCAGCGGAGTGAAAAACGAGACGGCAGAGGCCTGAGCAGAAGGAGAGGAAGGGAATGAAGACTAGTTCGGGAGAGGCGTTAGGACACCCCAAACCCCACTGTCCGTCCCCCGCCCCCCCCCAAAGAGCCGCGGTGCTGACAGCTCAGAGGCGCCACCAGGGTGGGGAGGGAGAGCAGGCGACGAGAGCGGAGAGGCGCCTCCTAGGAGCGGGGTGGGGGGAGGTGGGCAAAAGGAGACCCGCGCCTTGGGGCCCCCTGGCGCCCCGGCTGGGTCCCGGCAGCCCGCGGAGGGGCGCGTCCTCACTCACCGGCTCCGGTGGCGCCGCTCTCCCGGGGCGCCCAGCACAGCGCGAGCAGCAGCCAGAGCGCCCAGCGCGCGGACGTGCCCATGGTGCCCGCCTGGATGGTGCCTCCGCCGCCGCCGCTCGCTCCGCACAACAAGTTACCAGCCTTTCGGAAAGGAGGAAGGAGGTGGGGGCGGGGAGGGAGGAGGGGAAGGGGGAGGAGGGGAAGGAGTTCGAAAGGAGGGGGAAGGGGGCAGGGAAGAAGAGGGCACCCCCTCCCCTACAACTTGCACGATCTCCGCCCCCCCCCGCCCCCCTCCTTCACCAGCCAACCCACCCGCCTACCCACCTCCCCGGGCTGCAGCAGCAGTCGAGCCGAGCCCGCGGGCAGAAAATAATGCAGGCGCTGCAGAGGAGCGGAGGGAAGAGGAGGGGAGAAAGGGAGAGGGGGTGGGGAGCCGAGAGCGGAGAAGAGCGAAGGGAGCGGAGCCGGCCGCGGAGAGCCCACGCTGGCGGCGGCTGGAGCGAGGGGTGAGGAGCGAGGAGGGGGCCGGAGGGGGAGTGGTCAGCGGGGCGGGCGCGGCGGCTTCAGCCCTCCTCCCGCTCCACGCGCTTCTCTTATAAGCTCCCAGCCGGCAGGTGCCTGCGCCGGGGGTGTGTGTGAGTTTGCGTGCGGGTGTGAGCGTAAGTGGCCGTGGCCGTGGCCGCCGCCGCTGCCACCCGGACTGCTCCCGGAGCCGGCTGCTCCGTGCGTCCGCCGGGAGCTCACGGGGGCCCGGGGCGGCCTCTGGTTGGCTCGCGCGCCGCCCTCGCCTCCAATCCCCGGTGCCTGCCCTAATTTCCTGATCCAGGGAACCTGCCGCCGCAGCAGCGGTGCGCTCCCTACAGTCGTTACTGTACCTTCCCGGCAGCCGCCAACAGTAAAGGCAGCAACAGCAGTTAGCACTGATGCAACTACTGAGGCTGTTGCCACCGTCTTCCCGCTGACGGGGCTTACAGCCCGGGGAGGGGGACTTGCAGCTTCCAGGGGCAACAAGCATCTCTCTATACCACCCTCTCCTGCGCCTCAAAGAGAGGCTGGTACTAGGAGGCTGGTAGGTAGTTTCTTCCGTGGGTCTGCTCTCCACTTCAAAGTGATAAAGAGGAGTGGATCTAAACGTTTGGGGTACTCTGATGTGGGGTTGGGGCTGCCTGTCTCAGTTGAACGCTGAGATGCCATTTTTGCTTGAAAAAAAAGTGCAATGTGTCTTTAAGTGGGAGCGTGTGTGTAAGCAGAGTGCTCACGGTTGTGGTTTGTCCTCTGTAATAGAGTGGGACTAAAATAACCCAGCCTGGGATGAGGAGGAGAGCTGAACGCTAGTGCAGCTCTCTATTCTCTCATCAACGATTATAGTTAATTGCTAATTGCACAAATGATAGTTGGAGGGCCTGTAATTAAAAGCTTAACCTTTTCTTGTTTGGGGGAGGGGAAACCCGTAGGTTTATTCCTCTTGATATAGTTTGCAACATTCAATTACAAGGCTTACAGAAAGAAAAAAGGAAGCAAAGGCAAGACTTCTGTAAAGGATTGAATCCTGTTTTGTGTCTGGCAATACTGGCTTTTTGTGTGTACTTTGGTTTTCTTGCTCAATTTCCCCTGCTTGTCCTATCTAACCAGACCGGGAGGACACAGGGAGCTATTTCACCTTCTTAAATAAAGGGTATATATGCATGTGTGTGTGTGTGTGTGTGTGTGTGTGTGTGTGTGTGTACATACATATATATATATATTAAAATTTATTTTTGGCTGTGCTGGGTCTTCTTTGCTGCACAGTGGTTTTTTCTCTAGTTGTGGTCGTGGGCTTCTCATCGCGGTACCTTCTATTGTGGAGCATGGGCTCTAGGGCACACAGGCATCAGTAGTTGTGGCACACCAGTTTAGTTGTCTCCCCCATCCATGTGGGATCTTCCCAGACCAGGGATTCAACTGGTGTCTTCTGCATTGGCAGGCGGATTCTTTACCTTTGGACCACCAGGGAAGCCCTGAGTTTATATATATTTTTTAAAGTTTTGATCTCCAGTGACTCAAACTCTGCCCATTTCAATAGGACCAGCTCTGACTATTCTGTTGATGACATGAGAAGTAGAGGGGTCCTGCCTAGCTGCTTTCCTCTTGTCTTGGTGCTCCAGGGCATTTGTCAAGGCTAACCATTAGATGGGATGTTTATGAGGAGCTTACTGTATCCAGGGCATGGAGAGGAAAATTCCAGGTCAGAGTACACTTTGCTGGGACCAAAGGATACCCAGATTGTGACTGGTCAACATGAAGGGGCTTAACTCTATGTATTGGAATAGACTTACACTACAGTTCATTTTGAACTCTATTTTGCTCATCCTTGGTTATACATTTGATACCCACTGCAGCAGCCACACTTGTGTTGCCTGTGAAATTGAGCTGAACTCTGCTTTATGCCATTAGTAGTAAAGATGCATGCAAGGCATTAAGGGATGATGGTAAAAGAGGTGTGTGGCCATTTCAATAATCTCAGGGTTCTGAAAGACCATGTGATAGTGAGCTATGTCACTGACAGGAGAGGAAAGGTGGTAGAGGGGATGCATGGAAGAAATATGAAAAGGTACAACATTAATATAGTTATGCGGCTTTTAGTATTTTATTAATACTCAGAGCTAAATATATATACTATAAGATGAACACTGATATGGTATAATAAGATTTACCTTTGACAAACACATTATACTTTCTATATCTCCAAAGGATATAAACAAACTGTTGGTGAATTTAGCTGCGGCTCTATGTGTTATCCTGCAGCTCTCTTGTTGAACCCAAAGGAAGCATAACTTTCACTAGCTGTGTCACTTGGGCAAATCTCAGTACCTCGCTGTGCCTGCCTTCTGACCTACAAACAGAACACAAAACCAGCTCACATAAAGTCAGAGTGCCCGGCCTCAAGGGCCAGCTCTCTGCAAAGTGCTGATTATTGGAAGGATAGATTGTAAGGAAGAGTGAATTTGATGAACATAGAAAGTAACCGAATAACCAGAGATGAATTTATCATGAGTGGAGACAGGTGTAGTTTAGCTAGATAGGCTCAGGGAGGTTGATGCTGCTGGATTCAGAGCCTTCAGGTAAATGCACAGGCAACCCCATTCCCACAATCCACCACATTCATTTGTTGAAGCAACAAATGTCGAAGCAACACACACTGAGCATCCCTGGGTAGCAGGTACTGTGCTAGGCAGGGGGTATGCAGAGATGCTTCTTGGGTGAAGCTCAGGATCTGGTGGGGAGGCAAGGAAACTGCCATGATTGTAATACCCTATGCACAGCACATGCTTAGGCTTCAAGGTGTTGTAAGGTTAAAAGGAAAGAGTAGCTAATATGACTGGCGTAGAAGGGAGTCAGAAAAGGCTTTCCAGAGCACTTGTCTCTGAGCTGAAATCTTATTTTTACCAAACAATTCCAGTTCTCTTTACTGCTGGTCACATGATAGGATTGCACTTTCTGGCTTCCATAGAGTTAGGTGGGGCTGAAAGACCAATTTTGGCCAGTTATTTGTGAGCCGAAGTTCTAAGGTGACACTTCTGGCCTGGAGCATTTAATGGGACTTGCATGAAACCTTCTCTTAATCTGCATGCTGACCAGAAGTGCTCAAGAAGTGGCAGCTCCATGAGCCTGGCCTCTGAATGACTAGATTGAGTAGCTCTCTGCTGTCTGCATGTCGCTGGCCATGGTCACATAGAGTAGAGGTCAGCAAATGGCCAGTGACCTGTTTTTGGATGACCTTTGAATAAGAATGGTTTTTACATTTTAAAAAAGAGTTATACAAAAAAATGTAGAAGAAGAAAATGCAACAGAGACTGTACAGTTGCTCACAAAGTGTTAAATGTTTACCATCTGTGTCTTTTGAGAAAACACTGGCTACCTCCTGACACTGGGTGAGAAGTAAACCTTTGTTGTCTTTATTTAGTGAGCTTTTCTTACCTCAGCATGATCTCTTGTTGGCTTGAGTGATACTCTGGGTGAAGGAAGACCTTGGTGCATGGAGGGAACGAAGGCAAAGGGCATCAAAGTGCTGAAGGAAATTCAGGGGCTTCTGAATAGTTGCATGTTGGGGTTCCAGTCGGCTAACAGCTGGAAGGCTAAGGAAGAAAGGCAGGGACTGGATTTTGAAAATGTGTATGTAATGCCAACACTTTTTTTTTTTTTGCATTAAAAATATCTTTTTATTTTTAAAACTGTATTTGTTTGGGCTGTACCAAGTCTTAGTTGTGGTGTGTGGAATCTTTAGTATGTGGCATGTAGGATCTAGTTCCCTGACCAGGGATTGAACCCTGATCCCTACATCGGGAGCACAGAGTCTTAACCACTGCACCACCAGGGTAGTTCCCCCCAAATCTTTTTCTTTTTTTTTTTTCAATTAAAGTGTAGTTGATTTTGGAGAAGGAAATGGCAGCCCACTCCAGTATTCTTGCCTAGGAAATCCCATGGAATGTGGTGGGCTACAGTCCATGGGGTCGCAAAGAGTTGGACACAACTTGGTGACCGAGCACACGCACATGGCTGATTTACAATGCTGTTTTAGTTTTAGGTGTATAGCACAGTGACTCAGTTATACATATATATGAAAAATACATGTATATTCTTTTCCAGATTCTTTTCCATTTTAAGTTGTTATAAGATATTAATTAAATATAGTTCTCTGTGCTGTATTGTAGGTCCTCGTGCATCTATTTTTTTATTTAGCAGTGCATATCTATTCATTCCACACTTCTGATTTATTTATGCCCTGCCCAACCCCTTTCATGCCAACATTTTTGACTTGACCCTGTAGGCCATGGTGAGGACTTGCGATGGATTTTCTTTTTTCCCCCATTAAAAAAAAAAAAAATTCTTTAAGTTATACAATTTACTGTGGAGCAGTTATAAAATACAGAGAAAAACTACTTTTAAAATATACTTTCAGTACCCAGAGCTGCTGTTAGCATGTCTATTTCTTTCCTTTTAAAAACATTTTTAGTTATATCCTCAGGTCACAGAATTGTTTTGACATTATTATAATTGGTTCAGTTATGCCTATTTTTACTTGTTGATTTACTTTTGCAAAA